AGATTAAATGAATGAAATGAAGTGAGAAGAGAAGTTTAGAGAAAAAAGAGTAAAAAGAAACGAACAAAGCCTCCAAGAAATATGGGACTATATGAAAAGACCAAATCTATGTGTGATTGGTGTACGTGAAAGTGATGGGGAGAATGGAACCAAGTTGGAAAACACTCTTCAGGATATTAGCCAGGAGAAATCCCCCAACCTACCAAGGCAGGCCAACATTCATATTCAGGAAACACAGAGAACACCACAAAGATACTCCTCGAGAAGAGCAACCCCAAGACACATAATTGTCGGATTCACGAAGGTTGAAATGAAGGAAAAAATGTTAAGGGCAGCCAGAGAGAAAGGTCAGGTTACCCACAAAGGGAGACTCATCAGACTAACAGCAGACCTCTTAGCAGGAACTCTACAAGCCAGAATAGAGTAGGGGCCTGTATTCAACATTCTTAAAGAACGTTCAACCCAGAATTTCATATCCAGCCAAACTAAGCTTCATAAGCGAAGGGGAAAGAAAATCCTTTACAAACAGATGAACAAATGCTGAGAGATTTTTTCACCACCACGCCTGTCTTACAAGAGCTCCTGAAGGAAGCACTAAACATGGAAAGGAACGACTGGTGCCATCCACTGCAAAAACATGCCAAATTGTAAAGACCATCGATACTAGGAAGAAACTGCATCAACTAATGAGCAAAATAACCACCTGTCATCATAATGACAGGATCAAATTCACACATAACAATATTAACCTTAAATGTAAATGGGCTAAATGCCCCAATTAAAAGATACAGACTGGCAAACTGGATAAAGAGTCAAGACCCATCAGTGTGCTGTATTGAGGAGACCCATTTCACATGCAGAGACACACATAGGCTCAAAATAAAGGGATGGAGGAAGATCCACCAAGCAAATGGAAAACCAAAAAAAGCAGGGATTGCAATCCTAGTTTTGGATAAAACAGACTTTAACCGACAAAGATCAAAGAGACAAAGAAGGCCATTGCATAATGGTAAACGGATCAATTCAACAAGAAGAGCTAACTATCCTAAATATATGTGCACCCAATACAGGAGCCACCAGATTCATAAAACAAGTCCTTAGAGACCTACAAAGAGACTTAGACTCCCACACAATAATAATGGGAGACTTTAACACCCCACTGTCAACATTAGACAGATCAACAAGACAGAAAGTTAACAAGGATATCCAGGACTTGAACCCAGCTCTGCACCAAGCGGACCTAATAGACATCTACAGAACTCTCCACCCGAAATCAACAGAATATACATTCTTCTCAGCACCCCATCGCACTTATTCCAGAATTGACCACATAGTTGGAAGTAAAGCACTCCTCAGCAAATGTGAAAGAACAGAAATCAAAACTAACTGTCTCTCAGACCACAGTACAATCAAATTAGAACTCAGGATTAAGAAACTCCCTTGAAATCACACAACTACATGGAAACTGAACAACCTGCTCCTGAATGACTACTGGGTACATAATGAAGTGAAGGCAGAAATAAAGATGTTCTTTGAAACCAATGAGAACAAAGACACAACATACCAGAATCTCTGGGACACATTTAAAGCAGTGTGTAGAGGGAAATTTATAGCACTAAATGCCCACAAGAGAAAGCAGGAAAGATCTAAAATTGACACCCTAACATCACAATTAAAAGAACTAGAGAAGCAAGAGCAAACACATTCAAAAACTAGCAGAAGGCAAGAAATAACTAAGATCAGAGCAGAACTGAAGGAGATGGAGACACAAAAAAACCTTCAAAAAATCAGTGAATCCAGAAGCTGGTTTTTCGAAAGGAACAAAAAAATTCATAGACCGCTAGCAAGACTAATAAAGAAGAAAAGAGAGAAGAATCAAATAGACACAATAAAAAAATGATAAAGGGGATATCACCATTGATCCCACAGAAATACAAACTACCATCAGGGAATACTATAAACACCTCTACACAAATAAACTAGAAAATCTAGAAGAAACGGATAAATTCTTGGACCCATACACCCTGTCAAGACTAAACCAGGAAGAAGTTGAATCTCTGAATAGACGAATAACAGACCCTGAAATTGAGGCAATAATTAATAGCCTACCAACCAAAAAAAGCCCAGGACCAGACGGATTCATAGCCGAATTCTGCCAGAGGTACAAACAGGAGCTGGTGCCATTCCTTCTGAAACTATTCCAATCAATAGATCAATAGAAAAAGAGGGAATCCTCCCTAACTCATTTTATGAGGCCAGCATCATCCTGATAACAAAGCCAGGGAGACACAACAAAAAAGAATTTTAGACCAATATTCCTGATGAACATCAATGCAAAAATCCTCAATAAAATACTGGCAAACCGAATCCAGCAGCACATCAAAAAAGCTTATCCACCATGGTCAAATTGGCTTCATCCCTGGGATGAAAGGCTGGTTCAACATACACAAATCGATAAATGTAATCCATCATATAAACAGAACCAAAGACAAAAGCCACGTGATTATCTCTTTTCTGCATCAATAGATGCAGAAAAGGTCTTCAAAAAAATTCAACAGCCCTTCATGCTAAAAACTCTTAATAAGCTAGGTACTGATGGAACGTATCTCAAAATAATAAGAGCTATTTATGACAAACCCACAGCCAATATCATACTGAATGGCAAAAACTGGAAGCATTCCATCTGAAAAGTGGCACAAGACAGGGCTGCCCTGTCTCACCACTGCTATTCAATATAGTGTTGGAAGTTCTGGCCTGGGAAATCAGGCAGGAGAAAGAAATAAAGGGTATTCAGTTAGGAAAAGAGGAAGTCAAGTTGTCCCTGGTGGCAGATGACACGACTGTATATTTAGAAAACCCCATCGTCTCATGGCGGGTGGTCACTGACGGTCATGAGACCGGAGAGCCCAGCGCTGCGGTGACCATGGGGAAACCGAGTTCTCTAATAAGAAGTTGTACATCGAAAGATTGAGCAGGGCACGCGGGTGGCTGGTGCCTGTGCTGCGAGTCCGAGATATCAGGAGGTGTAGGGGTCTTGAGAATGGCATGAACTGGGGAGGCAGGCTTCGCAGTGACCCAGATAGCGCGCATGTACTCCAGCCTGGGCAAAAGAGCGAGACTCTGTCTCAAAGAAAATAAAAAAAGTTCCCTATTTTTCAATCTTCTCCAGACTGTTGTTTCCCTGACTTTTTAATGATTCACCATTCAATGGTGTGGCCATGATATTTCATTGTGGTTTGATTTGCATTTCGTCTGATGGCCAGTGGATGTGGATTTCTGCGATGGCATATTTCGCTCGCGTGGACTGTGTTGCTAATTAAATGTCTTCTTTTGAGAAGTGTCTCGTTCATATCTTTGCGCATTGTTGATGGAGGTTATTATGAGTTTTTTTTAATGTGTATAAGTTCTTTGTGATTCCTGGCTTTAGCCCTTGTCGATGGGTTGATTGCAAAAATTTTCTCCCAATTCTGTAGGTTGCTGTTTTCACTCTGAGGTAGTTCTTTTTGCTGTGAGAAGTCTTTCGTTTGTAATAGATCCATTGTCTTATTGTGGTTTTTGTCTGCCAGTTTTGGTGTTTTGCATGAAGTCCTACCCATGCCTATGTGCGCTCTGAATGGATGCTAGGTTTTGGTATGATAGGTTTTTTATGGTTTTGCTCTACATTTAAGTGCTTAATCCATCTTGAATTTAATTTTTGTACAACATGTTGTAGGATAGGGAGCCATGTCGGTTTCTATGTTATGGCTGGCCGGTGTTTCAGCATCATTATTAAATAGGGATCCTTTCCGCTTTGTTTGTCGAGGTTTGCTCGAAGATAGATGGTG